CATACTATCAAACTGCTACCTAATACTGATAATGCTAACCCAAATTGAATTACTTCCAATGGAAATTAAACAAATATTGGTCCAAAATGTGATTTCCCTATATAAACTATAGTAAAGTTTACCCCCTCCCCAGGGGGAAACGTGAGACCCCAGGGTCATGAAATTCACAATTTTGGTAAAGCACCTTAAGACCCTTCCATCTATGAAAAGTATTTGATTCTACCATATCTGGGTCTTGAGAAGAAGATTTTTGAAATTTTAGTCAATTTGACCCTTTTTGGCCCCGCATCTCAGGCCCCTGGGGGCTTAGGACTAAACCAGCAACAATTTTTGTTGACCTTTGTCCATGGAAGGTCCCTGCAAAATTTCATTGAAATTGGTTCAGGGGTTTTGGAGAAGAAGTCGCAAATGTAAATTGTTTACGGACGCACGACGGACAAAAGGCGATCGCAATAGGTCACTTGAGACTTTGTCTCAGGTGACCTAAAAATGTGAAGTCCAGGGATTGAATCATAGTCTAGCCCTGCTGTTTTTTTTTTAAACAGTGCCGTTGTTGGTTGTAATTTGCTTATTTATTTTCTTTCCTTTTTCACTGAAGTCCCCCTAGGTACATGTCACTCAAGTCCCCCTAGGTACATGCCACTCAAGTCCCCCTAGGTACATGTCACTAAAGTCCCCCTAGGAACATGTCACTCAAGTCCCCCTAGGTACATGTCACTCAAGTCCCCCTAGGTACATGTCACTAAAGTCCCTCTAGGTACATGTCACTAAAGTCCCCCTAGGTACATGCCACTCAAGTCCCCCTAGGTACATGTCACTAAAGTCCCCCTAGGTACATGTCACTAAAGCGGTCTCCAGTGTATAGTTACTGGTTTTGGCAGTGGCACAGGGATCCTGAATGCATGTGAACACTTGTAACAAAAGTTAAACCTGGCAACACCAATACGGAATCCTGCATGCCTTGACATTCTTTGAATAGTTGAGCTTATGAATTGTGGTTTTATATAGATAGAAATCTGATGTTGTGTCAACATTTCATACCTTAGGATTGCTGCAGTTGTTCATCTGAAGAACAACGCGTGGACACAGAAAACCTCGCAGTGGTGTGAACTTCTCCAGGTCTGTTCTCCACAGGACAAAGAATACATCCAACTTGTTATTTGACCACTGGTCTGGAGAACACTGCACTGAAATATTACATCAATAAACTGAACCAACCACCCTCTCCAGTAACATACTTTTACTTTGCTGGATATCCATTATTTCCATTATCTATAGTTCCCTACACTAATGCTGATAAAGGATTAAGTACTATGTATTGTCAACTGAATTTTGATATTTGATGTCAAGATAAATGTCATCTTGCGATTTGCAACACTTAAATTGTACGAAATGTTTCCGAATATACATCATGAAAATCATATTTTTTTGTTGTCTTTTTCATAAAAAGGATTGTATGTCCAGGGGTTCGCTCACATTCACTCTCTACACCCCTGGAATATGTCATGGCAAAATTGAATGCTCGATGTGTGCCACATTGCTGATGAGATAAGGAGACTAGTTCGATCCTTTGATGTACATCAAAAGAATCTCGCGGTCACGCAGTGGTGAAAATTGACAGGCTTTCAAGTGGGTGTCTCTCTTTTGTAATCTTCAAAGGATAGGTATCAGCCTAGCGGTTGGTCAGGTTTTTTTTACCCGAGACCAATCAAACAGCTATCTTCGTACCTTCAATTTTGCCATGACATATTCCAGGGGTGTAGAGAGAAAAAGTGAGCGTAACCCCTGAATATCGAGGATGAATCAAATCATATTGAACCCCAGGTGATTAGAAATGAGATTATAACCACGTTTGATTTTTTAATTACCTACAGAGTATCTCGTTTCGTAATTCATATCTGCTTGATATTTTACTGGGAATTCCCTGAACTTACACGATGGTCAAACTAGGGAATGGACATTCAACATTTTAATATTGAGTTCTAGTATTATCATTTAGAGGAACACTGACCCAAGTAATTATGTTTTATTGTGTAGAAATCTGTTTTCTTATTTTAACCAACAATCACATTTGAACTCTTGTCTCGTGGAGAAACTTTTTCTACAGCACTGATGTTGGTTGACCTTCTAGAAAGACTTACTGTAACCTGTACACAAGTATGTGGGGTCTTACCAAGAGCGAGGCACAGGTCCATGACTAGCTGTCCGTAGGCGACATACACTCCGGGTAGAACATCCTATAACAAACACTAGGGATTAGATACAAGTCTGCTGATAGGCTTACAAGCATGTATCTGTATCTAACAGGAATATCACGAGTCCTGTTGAGAAGCACATAACATGTCTAACAACTGTCAAAGATTAGTTTATTTCTTTGATCCCTACAGAGGTTGCAGTGGCAGAGTGGTTAAGACAAAAAAAAGCTAACAGGCAGCTTAGAGACACACCATTATATGTCACATGTATGACTAGGCCCATTTGTTTTTCAGAAGAAGTTGTATAAAGATTTTAACATATTTGACCCATGTGACCTTGAAAATGGATGAAGGTCATTTATTTGAACAAACTTGGTAGCCCTTCATCCAAGCATGCTTATGGCCAAATATCATCACCCTAGGCCTTTTGGTTACTGAGAAGAAGTTGTTTAAAGTAAAAAGTTGATGCCGGACGGACGACGCACCATGCCATAAGCTCATTTGGCCCTTTGGGCCAGGTGAGCTAAAAATCATGGCAAACTATTTTGATTGAACATATTAAATACATTGGGGCTGTCATATATCAAATAAATCAGGTAAATTAGCAGTAAGAACATTGTTCACTGAATAGTTTTCCTTCATTGATGATCTACATGCAAGATTTCAATGTTGGGTTATCTGAACCTGAATGACCAACAGGGAATGGACCATCCATTTCTATGCCTATTCATTTTGTTTTAGTACAGCTTTATACCAGAGAGTACCCACCTGTCTCTTCTTTATCACAGTTTGTACTTGGGAAATCACAGATTTTATCTCCACTTCACTTGGTACCACACGTCCAAAAGTAACGCCCCTTACTACTTGCTGTGAGAGAATCAAACCATGGAATAATCAAATAGACAATAAAATACAACATTTCTAAACAAACAAATTTAATTCAGATACAGCAGTGATTCTCCAACCAATCTAGCTGTACATGTAGTGGCAGTCATTAGACGGTGAAGTTTAATGAATGTAGCTAGCACTGTAAAAACCACATGTGATTACCCTGAATCCAATGTAGCTAGCACTGTAAAAACCACATGTGATTACCCTGAACCCAATGTTTCATGCTATTATAAATAATATCTATAATTTGTATGATCTCTTCCTGCATGACGAATAGCCTCACCTTGATTTCAATAAGAACATCAGACGGACTTGGGACACTGTGATCATGTTCCTTAGCAATAACGTCCGTGCATCCCTCAGTTTCCAGGGTTACATTGCTGCCAGGGTGACCTGCCTCAGCAGCCTCGTTAGACTTCTGTTGTGTCAGCATGAAGGCTTTAAGGATGCGCTCCAATTCAGTCTGAAGCTCACTCTGGTACATAGCTGTGGAATATTAGATATTTACAGGTTATCATACGACCATTTCCATATCCTACTATGCATCTGCCCAAGACTCCCATATTGACCTTTTTATCATATACTGCTCTATAACATCAAAATTATGAGTCTTCAACAAACTTAAACACTGAAAATTTAGATTTCATGTGCTAAATATAATAACATTTTACCTTAACACAATGTGTAGTGTGTACACTGCCAGTCTGAGGTTAGCTTAAATTAACACAATGTGTAGTGTGTAAGTAGTGTGTACACTGCCAGTCAGAGGTTAGCTTAAATTAACACAATGTGTAGTGTGTACACTGCCAGTCTGAGGTTAGCTTAAATTAACACAATGTGTAGTGTGTAAGTAGTGTGTACACTGCCAGTCAGAGGTGTGACTTTTCTGAAAAGTGTTGAACTGGAAGTTAAATGGATACGACGGGTGTACCGTGTGGGCAGATATGGCACAGGCTGCATGGGGGGGATATGGCTTGGTCTGGGATATGGCCTGAATAGCTAACAGTATCATACATGCAAAACAACCCATATCACGGACAAGTGTATGATGATAAACAATAAAGGTCACTCTGGTACATATCTTTGAAAAATTTAATAGATCATAGATGAAAATTAACATGGAAAAGAAGAGTTCACCTGTTGTGATGTGTTTGGTCATCCATTGCTGGATCTTTTCCATCGTGATACGAAGACAGATCTTTGTTGCCATGGTGACGACCGTGCGAGACTGCTCATCAGGTAGAAGTAAAGTGAGGGCAGCATCTATCTTTTTCTCACAGTAACTGAACAGAAAGTAAGGAAACAAATTGTCTGGGAGGCATTCATAGTTCAACTGGTCACTCTGGCCCACCCCTACCTTATCTTTTATTTAAACCAATACATTTGATATCCATTTAAATAACAAGCAGTGTTCTCCCCAGAATATTTAGAATGAAGCATGGTATTTCAATATTTCTGTTAAAGCAGCACTCACTTTAGATTGACTATGAATATATAGCATAGAAGATCTAGGATAGCAGCATGGCAAGAAATTATAGGAGCATGGTGCCATGCTGCAAAAACAGCCTGGGGAGAACACTGACAAGTGTCCTGTGTCTTTTATCCATCATGTTTAAATACCTATTGTTATTTTCACTGTTTTTTTTATAAAAAAAACAAAATGTTTTAAAGAAAAAAGTCTTTTATTCAACTGTGTGAATTTCTTTTTCCTTTTTAGTATAATCTGAATAATGACATCTACAATTAATACCACTGCATACTACTAACCCTTCTACTTCTGTGGCAGATGTTGCCTTGACCTGCTGAACACAATCTTGGGAAATCTTGAGTAATTGTGACTGTAGTTTGTCCTGCAAAATTCAAGCAATAAAATGTAAATCATCACTCAGGTCCCAAGAGAGTAATTTCCGATCCATATATTTTGGGTTTAGAGACAGTGTGGGGTACATATCTGATTCCACCCTCACAATTTATCCTCCGTTCTCACTAAATACTGCAAGTCAATTTAAACCAAACACTATATACTTATCAACAAAAGTGCCTCTGTGTCATCTAAATTCATATCCTGAGTAGCTGAAATAGGTAATAACGTCGACGAAACTCCTAAGCATCAACATGTACATTGGTTGCCTGAAGTTAATGCAGCCTGCACAATACTGTCACTATGATAGCAACTGATGATGAACTTGTTATTTATTTTGACATTTATCTTTTGAATGGTGGCATTTTATGAAACAATCAGAACTACTTTGATACTGGAAAAATAATCAAACATTTTCCATATGTAAAATATTGAAATATTGTCAAAAACACAGAGTTATCCCATTAATTATTTTCTATCCACTCAGTTAGTTTCTCACTTTGGCCTTGGCAGTTGGAGAGGAGTTTTCCTGAGTTTCCATGTGATCTGACAGTCGTGTTTTACTTTCCCTGATGGATGAGACCAGTAGAGTTGACCGAAATCTCTTTATGTAGTTAGAGGCTGTTCGATCTGCCACAAAATCAACCGTCCTTCTCAGTGACGCAGGATGGTTGTGGAAAAAGTTCTCTTCCAGGTGGAGCTGGACACAATCAATGGTAATAAGAAAATATTAATTTCAGCAATAAATATGACCTTAATAACTCAGAACTCTGAAAAGAAGGATGACCTTTGATAACTTATAATCTGTTAAAAGTATTCTGAAGGCAAGGATTATTTAACTTCATTATATTTGAATATAATCATAATGTTGAAATTTGGTATCAAATGTGAACAGTCTACATTCTTCACACAACCTAGGGATTCTACAAAGAAACACCTATACTCTGACAAAGTCTAAGATTGGGGTACATTCATCCACCATGAGTCTCATAGATTGAACCATGAGTGATTACTGTCTTCGTCTAGGGTATGATAAGTTCATAACTGGCAAATATTTCCCCAGACGTAATTTATTGTGGTCATAAAATACCTACATTTATGAATTGCATTTTTGATAGAAATCGGTTTCTTTAAAGGACAAGCTTGACATTATTGTTTGAAACAAGATGTTAATAAATCAATACTGGATTTATTTGAGAATGATTATTAGAAATACTTTTTTTTGTACAAACAAACAGCATTGCCAGTTTTAAAATGAGTATTAAGGGGAAGATGGTGGGAGGAAAATAATCGTCACCCATCTCTGTGTAAATTTCTTCAATGATTTGCAAACTACTAATAAATGGTTATCTTTATTATCTCTTGTCATTGAGAGCTGAGAGGGGGTAATCAGCAGGTACTGATGTGATCTATATATCACTAACCTGTGTTTGTCGCTCTGTCATTGATGGCTGAGAGGGGTAATCAGCAGGTACATCTATCACTAACCTGTGTTTGTCTCTCTGTCATTGATGGATGAGAGGGGTAATCAGCAGGTACTGATGTGATCTATATATCACTAACCTGTGTTTGTCGCTCTGTCATTGATGGCTGAGAGGGGTAATCAGCAGGTACTGATGGGATCTATCTATCACTAACCTGAATTTGTCTCTCTGTCATTGATGGCTGAGAGGGGTAATCAGCAGGTACTGATGTGATCTATCTATCACTAACTTGTGTTTGTCTCTCTGTCATTAATGGCTGAGAGGGGTAATCAGCAGGTACTGATGTGATCTATCTATCACTAACTTGTGTTTGTCTCTCTGTCATTAATGGCTGAGAGGGGTAATCAGCAGGTACTGATGTGATCTATCTATGACTAACCTGTGTTTGTCTCTCTGTCATTGATGGATGAGAGGGGTAATCAGCAGGTACTGATGTGATCTATATATCACTAACCTGTGGTTGTCTCTCTGTCATTGATGGCTGAGAGGGGTAATCAGCAGGTACATCTATCACTAACCTGTGTTTGTCTCTCTGTCATTGATGGCTGAGAGCGGTCGTCAGCAGATATGGGCGTTATCTTTCTGATGGTTGAATTCTTACTGCTGCTACCCACAGAAAACTCAACCAGTAGGGTTCGGATCTCCCCTGTAATACAGACATTATTCATTTATAGACATCAGGTGTAAAACAAACAAGATCAGCACAGCACTAATTGGTATATAGGCAGTAAATGACCCTCTACTGAACCATTATCATGCTATAGAACAATGTTGGAACCAAATAGACCAATCAATTGTTGTGTGTACAGGTGGTCACTATACAGTGTCATCATACAGTAAACCAAATAGACCAATCAATTGTTGTGTGTACAGGTGGTCACTATACAGTGTCATCATACAGTAAACATGCATATTTGCTGAATTCCAAATTTCAGTTCATTGTGTGTTAACATACCTGTCTCAATTTTAAAGCAATGCACAAAAGTGCAGCCCTCAAAGAGATAATTCTAAAATAATTATTTCTGACATTCTGGTCCGAGCTGCGATAAGGTGTTATAGGTACAGACAAGAATATCCCAATACATACCCATGTAAGGACAGCAGGTGTAATACAACTTTTGGTCCACAAATCCCATCCTGTCCTGTAACACAGATCTAAGACTTAACCAACAATCACCAAGATGACACTACATAGTTCATTGCTACATCTTTAGATACAATAAAAGATAAGCTACGTTACCTATCATTCTATCGTCAGACAAGTAAGGTGAAGGTAAAGGGCTCCACTGCATCAGCTGTAATTGTAAAGAATTCCACTCCTCTGGATTAGAGTAACCTCCCCTGTGAAGATTTTCTTAGGCTTTGTGGGCCATAAATCGGACATTCATTTTGATGCTATGCAGCTATCCTAGATTGGATTTCTGATGAAGCGTAGGCTTTGTAATGTCAAGGTATCGATTTAGACACCTACCTTGGTAGTTTTCCTTTTTATTTCTATTTTTAAACATTAAAACTTTGAATGACTATAAATCTGTAAAATTCATTGCAACATGCTATTTTTATGGAATATGTCAATATTGTGTAATATTCTTAAAGAAGTATTCCATAAAAATAGCCTTCATTTGAAATTTTGAAACCTAAATTGTTGGTACCCTTTACCTTAAGATACAGAATTTGTCAATCTGCCTCCAGGCTAAAGTTTATTTTGTGTAAACTACAAATAGATTATTTGATCTTCAAGCTTTTGGTTAAAATACAGTATTTGTTATTATGTCTCTAAGATATAGATACAGAATTTCGCCATACTTAGGGTAAAGTTAAGATATAGAATTTGTCAATCTGTCTCCAGACGAAACTTTAAACTACAAAATAGGGTACATATAAAGGGAAGTACATTTATCTCTGACCACAATCACCCAAATATCTTTTTCCTGGGACTCAATTTACAAACATTAGATCGGAGACACAACAAACCACATATTAATTAAAATTATGTGTCCCCAAGCTGTCCCTCATATATTCTTATCTAATATGTAGACATTTCTCATTTTGAGGCAGACCTAGCACGGAGTCAGAGACGGACACTGAGAGTAGTAAATTCAGGGAACATCTCAAAATCTTTCTTCATTTCATCTGTATTAAGGAGGCTCCACCCTTTCGCAATTAACCAGCAGAATTCAATGAAAGTTTCACATAATGGTTATGTCACTATGTAGAGATGATTTTATGAAAATATAAGGATTCTGATAAACTGTTTTTTTTTTTTTAAATACCAAAAAAAAAAATAGTTTCATACAAAAAGAGTGAAAATTTGAACCAAACATTTTACATTTTACAATAATTTTGATTGCGATGAGAGTTGTCTACCTTGAAAAAAATCGGAACTTTTGCAAAGGGATAGAATTTATACAATGACAGCTATTTTCTTTACTATACCAAAAACGACGGAAATAAATTAAATTACTATATCAAATTGTCAATTTACAGTTCTTTTACGGATTAATATTTCTCTCAATCATGTACACGTTGGACATCATTCCATAGGCCGCTTATGCATGGTATCTTTATATATCAGGTACATATGTTATCATAGGCTATCGCATGGTATGCCGTTATCACGTGCACGCACATGCACTTCATTTTATCAGGATTTTGATATTCTACAAACCACTATTTGTGAAATGATTTATTTGACAGAGCGTAACTCGCTCGACAACAAAACTCATTGCGACTCCGAGCTTGTACAGGTGAGGTCGGTAAACAAAACACATCAGTCTGCATTCCATGACCTTCTTAAAGTCCTCTGATGTTACATGTATGTCAGTGTCTTCCTGTGAGTTAATTAATGTCTTTGTATCATCAGCTTTATTTCTGAAGTACGTGTGATTACACATTTCCCAGTGAAGTCTTGATATCGGGTGTTGACATATCATCGTCATACACGTGTAAAATTGTTTACCCGGTGTTACTATAATTTACACTTCGGTAATGGAATGCCGGATATGCAATACGGAAATGACGACACCAAAATACGACAAGAAAAACATGTGTATTACGGAGGGTTTGAAATCCTTAAGGATTCCTGTCCCCTTGCTTGCGACAAAACACTAGAGATTATCATTTAGTGTTCCTTACTTGTTACCTACAGTTACATCCCCTGATTTTCATAACAATTGATAAATTTCTCCTGGCTGATCTCACCCTACCGGGATTTTTTTCAGAAAACATTTTTTTTTTAAATTACAGAAATTATCCCTCGAACAGTTTTCTAAGAAAAACATTTAAATGATCACCCCCCCCCCCCCCCCCTCATTTTTAGCGGGTCGGTCATGCAGGAAACAGCAAATAATTGCAAATACATATTGATCTAGTCCGAAATTCTCGTAAATACTCTGATTTTCACCTATTTATCTCGAAAATGTATTTCTAAAAACACACGTAACTCTTTCTAGACAAATTCAATTAAAAAGAGCGCGCTGAGATCTTTAGAGGAACACGTTCAAATGTATGACATACTTTAATTTCCGAATGCGCGGTTTTCTAAAACACGTTTCTCAAGAGACAACTCAGTCTCATGTGGCTTTATTTCAGATATTTTTGTTTTTTTAATATGACGTAGAATTTGGACAACCCAACTCTCCATCAGAAAAGGATAATAGGTGGTGGTAGTTATTTAGGAAATAGATAGACTTGATCTTCTATCCCAGAGAAAGCATTATGGCTAAAAGTTCAAGAGATACCATTTGTGATAGCTACTTTGTTTTTTACTTTTTTGACGTTGGAATTATTAGCTGCTTTCTTTGTTTCGTAAATTGATGTTTGTAATTTACCAGACCACAACATAACACCGAAAAAACTGGATTGGAAGTAATAGACGAACATGGATTCCGGGAAGTATTATACATATTAAGTTAATGATTAAATACAATTACGTTTTTATTTTGATTACATGATGTCATCTTTTGTTATTGTTAAATTGTCGGTGTTTAGACATTGGGTATACACAGATTTTTTATGTGTAAGCCGTTTTTTTTTTCTATGGGCTCTACGCACCTTTTTGTGGAGTAATTTTACACCTTTTTGGGGATTGGTGGCATTTTTACCGAAAATGAATCTAACACTGGGGTTCGGTGAATTTCTTTTAACTCATTCGGCGTCAGAATAATACAACAGAGGTCCCGGGTGAGATCCTTAGTGGAGACATTAACATATCAATTACCACGGTTGCATACTTGCCGCAGTGAGCCACGAATTGTATATGATGTTACCTGTTCGCTTACCTGTAGTCACGTACCTGTGCGTGTACACACTCTGACATACCCTATACGCTATGTTCCATATAAAATTATTTTTGAAATGACCCCTGTATTTACTTGTCTGGGTCTCTGTCCCCTTGCTCCGTGCTAGGTCTACCCCAAAAAGAGAAAGGTCTATTATAAGAGTGCTTATTTAGCAGGCACAATTTAAGCAAATTAGTGAATTTTAACAGATTAGTGCATTGATCAATCCATGTACTCACAAGATATGCAATAAAAGCTATTTTCAGAAATTTCAATTAGCGTAATGTTTAAAAATTTGAAAAAGCTAGAAAATTTAATTTTACAGAACTGCTTCAATTCTTACCTATTGTAATAAAAGCATTGGCCAGTAATTAAAAGTTATCTACAAATTGTCAACAATACTTACCAGTGAAACACCTGTTTGATGGTCTAGTGAGGTTCCCATGGAGACAACTTCACCAGGGATCTCGGAGAAGAAAAATCCTTCTGGTATCACAGCATTCTGTATAGAAAATCAATGGCTTTTGTATTGTGAATCTGGTATCAATACAGTACATCATGTACATAGAATGGAACTAGATTTAAGTAAGAGTGTGGGATTTACCAATACCTAAGCTCCCGCATATCTACAAAGTTTGGAGCCCATCGATGAAACAGTGGCTGAAATATATTGTAGAAACCTAAATTACACTTAATTTTGTACTTGAGGTCAAATTGAGGTCAAAGTGACCTTTAGGATGTGACACTTTCTTCCAATGATGTACCTATATACATTGTTTGATGTTACTTCATTAAACAGCCTCTGAGCAAGGATGGACGGACACACAGACAAAGTGAAAACTATATACCCCCGGATTGAAATGTTACACCATGTGTATAAAATTGAAGTACAGTATCATGTAACTGGTATTAAAGGTTTGATTTTGTTTAATTTTGTTTAATGTTCTATTAACAGCTAAGGTCATTTAGGATGTGCCTCCATGTGTGTAGTGTATGTGTGCCTGCGTGCGTGTTTGCAGGAGACAGGGTATGTTGGTCTGCTTCCGTCCTTGTGATAGCGCAAATCTGATACCAACTTTTTAGTGCCATCTCACTGAAATACCAAGCCGAAGCCACCCATCACAGCATTCCACCCCGTCACTTTATACTGACAATGGGTGAACCAGGTGTTGTCATTCCCCCTAAATGCTGAACGTTAAGCAGGGAATAACAACTACCATTTTAAGTACTTTGGTATATCACGGCCTGGGGACAGAACCCATTGCCTTCCTCACCTAGGTGAACGCTCAACATTAAAGCCAAAAGTGAGGACTTGCCAAGCAAGGCGCTAGTAAATAAAAGGTAGTTAGAAGTAGAAAGAAAGATAAAGATCCCAAATATTGCAATGGGTGCAGCAGATTTATTTTTGTCGCCTTTGTGTCTCCAAATAGAGGACACCAAAGCAAATCTCCAAATTCTGCAGGGGTTCCCACACTAGTCGCCTCCTACAGTACATACAGTGGTTAACAGCAGGTGTATTCTTTTCCCGATCCCCCACCTGCAGGGCTGGCAATTGCCCCTGTGTGTGTACTTTTCCATATAAATACATACATAAGCAATGTAGAACCATTATTGATACTTAAATAGATTTTACCAGTGGTTAGCAAGCTTTACAAACATAAGATTTGATTGAAATTGAACATTTTTTTAACAAATCCTAATTTTATATTATAAAAGTGAAAACTTAGCTTTGTGATTTATGCAGATCAACAAGCCATCACTGATGACAATAACACCATACTGATTGGAAATTATCAGAAATGCCCGATGAATAGTTTGGTTTGTTTGTGTTTTACGTCCTATTAACAGCTATGGTCATTTAAGGATGTGCCAGATTTTGGTGGTGGAAGAAAGCCAGAGTTCCCGGAGAAAAAACCTACCTACGGCCAGTACCTGGTGACTGCCCCCACGTAGGCCTTGACCCGAGACCTAGTGGTGGAGGGCTAGTGGTAGCAGAATGTCATCGTGGAGGATGTGTGCATGTATGTAAACATAAGGACCACCATAACCTTAACCCTTTCACCCCTATGTAACTTTAGTAGACTCTACCATACATTGATCTGGGAGAGTCCATTATGGTCTACAGTGGTGAAAGGGTTAGGATAATCACAAACCTTGGTATGTCAACATGGGGAGGTCTACCTATGTTTTGATGACTACAATACTTAAAAGAACTTGGGACTACAAACCTCAAACAGCCAGCTGATGGTGGTTATGACTAAAAGGTTGGCATAACAGGTGTTGGTAAACTGTCCACTCCCCCAAGTCTGCCTGAGGAAAATAAGAAACAAAGATTGAAATAGGCCCAGCGGGCCTGCATTGAATCAATGATATTTTAAATCTAGTACCTTGACCACATCTTTTGGTTCCCGAACTACAAATTCATTCTAAGAAAAGGTAATATTTGAACTTTGTATAAAGTTGGATTAAAATCTACTAAAAGATCATACCCCTAGAGTGATGACAAGGCAGGACAACATGGATAACCCTATATGCCCATATAATTGCTGGCATTTACCTCTAGACAAACATTTGTATTTTTCTTTTTAGTAGAGATAGGAACGGCTGCTCCCAAGGGGAAATAAAAATGTTGTCATCCTTAGATTTGTAGGTAGATACTGGCTACAGTACTTACTGGTGTATATACAGTAGAACAAACAGTGCTATCTGTATAGGTTCTAGATTGGGGGCTATCTGATCCATCATACTCAGGAACTCCACCACCCATGGAACAGTCAAGGTCAGTTGTCCAAGGAAGAAGGCTGTCTTCAGGCATCTAGCAAGGTCAATTTGTATTGACTGCTGTGAAAAAAAAAGAGTTAGTTACAATCTTTTAACACTCATGGCTAATATGCATGTGTTAAATTCATTTTTTGGGGGGGTTGGAGGAGCAGGAGGAGGAGGTAGGATATAGTGGAGGAGCTTTAAGCTCCATAGCAAGGGGGGAGAGGTAGGATACAGTGGAGCTTTAATAATTCAGCAACATCTGTTCCAAAATAAAATCCAGCCAACTTCATTCCCAACAAAAGTAGCTGGATTTAAAGATGACTGGATTACTAGGCAGTTTTGTACAGAAAGGACAATCAGTTCAATAAAATACTATTTGGATAGTGGGACAATTCTATTAATAGCAGCAGTTTGAGGAATGAGGCTTGAATGTTGGGAGTCTCACAATTCCATTCCAAAGGTTCAGAGTTGTCACAGATTTTAGGTCAAACTTGTAGTGTAGAACTTTATTACAGAGACAGCAAACTGAATGTGTGCCCTCAACGATACAACTATTTACAGTAAATACCTGTTAGTACCCACAAGACTTCAGCCATTACGGATACATTAGTTCCTGTGAATGTGTGCCCTCAACGATACAACTATTTACAGTAAATACCTGTTAGTACCCACAAGACTTCAGCCATTACGGATACATTAGTTCCTGTGAATGTGTGCCCTCAACGATACAACTATTTACAGTAAATACCTGTTAGTACCCACAAGACTTCAGCCATTACGGATACATTAGTTCCTGTGAATGTGTGCCCTCAACGATACAACTATTTACAGTAAATACCTGTTAGTACCCACAAGACTTCAGCCATTACGGATACATTAGTTCCTGTGAATGTGTGCCCTCAACGATACAACTATTTACAGTAAATACCTGTTAGTACCCACAAGACTTCAGCCATTACGGATACATTAGTTCCTGTGAATGTGTGCCCTCAACGATACAACTATTTACAGTAAATACCTGTTAGTACCCACAAGACTTCAGCCATTACGGATACATTAGTTCCTGTGAATGTGTGCCCTCAACGATACAACTATTTACAGTAAATACCTGTTAGTACCCACAAGACTTCAGCCATTACGGATACATTAGTTCCTGTGAATGTGTGCCCTCAACGATACAACTATTTACAGTAAATACCTGTTAGTACCCACAAGACTTCAGCCATTACGGATACATTAGTTCCTGTGAATGTGTGCCCTCAACGATACAACTATTTACAGTAAATACCTGTTAGTACCCACAAGACTTCAGCCATTACGGATACATTAGTTCCTGTGAATGTGTGCCCTCAACGATACAACTATTTACAGTAAATACCTGTTAGTACCCACAAGACTTCAGCCATTACGGATACATTAGTTCCTGTGAATGTGTGCCCTCAACGATACAACTATTTACAGTAAATACCTGTTAGTACCCACAAGACTTCAGCCATTACGGATACATTAGTTCCTGTGAATGTGTGCCCTCAACGATACAACTATTTACAGTAAATACCTGTTAGTACCCACAAGACTTCAGCCATTACGGATACATTAGTTCCTGTGAATGTGTGCCCTCAACGATACAACTATTTACAGTAAATACCTGTTAGTACCCACAAGACTTCAGCCATTACGGATACATTAGTTCCTGTGAATGTGTGCCCTCAACGATACAACTATTTACAGTAAATACCTGTTAGTACCCACAAGACTTCAGCCATTACGGATACATTAGTTCCTGTGAATGTGTGCCCTCAACGATACAACTATTTACAGTAAATACCTGTTAGTACCCACAAGACTTCAGCCATTACGGATACATTAGTTCCTGTGAATGTGTGCCCTCAACGATACAACTATTTACAGTAAATACCTGTTAGTACCCACAAGACTTCAGCCATTACGGATACATTAGTTCCTGTGAATGTGTGCCCTCAACGATACAACTATTTACAGTAAATACCTGTTAGTACCCACAAGACTTCAGCCATTACGGATACATTAGTTCCTGTGAATGTGTGCCCTCAACGATACAACTATTTACAGTAAATACCTGTTAGTACCCACAAGACTTCAGCCATTACGGATACATTAGTTCCTGTGAATGTGTGCCCTCAACGATACAACTATTTACAGTAAATACCTGTTAGTACCCACAAGACTTCAGCCATTACGGATACATTAGTTCCTGTGAATGTGTGCCCTCAACGATACAACTATTTACAGTAAATACCTGTTAGTACCCACAAGACTTCAGCCATTACGGATACATTAGTTCCTGTGAATGTGTGCCCTCAACGATACAACTATTTACAGTAAATACCTGTTAGTACCCACAAGACTTCAGCCATTACGGATACATTAGTTCCTGTGAATGTGTGCCCTCAACGATACAACTATTTACAGTAAATACCTGTTAGTACCCACAAGACTTCAGCCATTACGGATACATTAGTTCCTGTGAATGTGTGCCCTCAACGATACAACTATTTACAGTAAATACCTGTTAGTACCCACAAGACTTCAGCCATTACGGATACATTAGTTCCTGTGAATGTGTGCCCTCAACGATACAACTATTTACAGTAAATACCTGTTAGTACCCACAAGACTTCAGCCATTACGGATACATTAGTTCCTGTGAATGTGTGCCCTCAACGATACAACTATTTACAGTAAATACCTGTTAGTACCCACAAGACTTCAGCCATTACGGATACATTAGTTCCTGTGAATGTGTGCCCTCAACGATACAACTATTTACAGTAAATACCTGTTAGTACCCACAAGACTTCAGCCATTACGGATACATTAGTTCCTGTGAATGTGTGCCCTCAACGATACAACTATTTACAGTAAATACCTGTTAGTACCCACAAGACTTCAGCCATTACGGATACATTAGTTCCTGTGAATGTGTGCCCTCAACGATACAACTATTTACAGTAAATACCTGTTAGTACCCACAAGACTTCAGCCATTACGGATACATTAGTTCCTGTGAATGTGTGCCCTCAACGATACAACTATTTACAGTAAATACCTGTTAGTACCCACAAGACTTCAGCCATTACGGATACATTAGTTCCTGTGAATGTGTGCCCTCAACGATACAACTATTTACAGTAAATACCTGTTAGTACCCACAAGACTTCAGCCATTACGGATACATTAGTTCCTGTGAATGTGTGCCCTCAACGATACAACTATTTACAGTAAATACCTGTTAGTACCCACAAGACTTCAGCCATTACGGATACATTAGTTCCTGTGAATGTGTGCCCTCAACGATACAACTATTTACAGTAAATACCTGTTAGTACCCACAAGACTTCAGCCATTACGGATACATTAGTTCCTGTGAATGTGTGCCCTCAACGATACAACTATTTACAGTAAATACCTGTTAGTACCCACAAGACTTCAGCCATTACGGATACATTAGTTCCTGTGAATGTGTGCCCTCAACGATACAACTATTTACAGTAAATACCTGTTAGTACCCACAAGACTTCAGCCATTACGGATACATTAGTTCCTGTGAATGTGTGCCCTCAACGATACAACTATTTACAGTAAATACCTGTTAGTACCCACAAGACTTCAGCCATTACGGATACATTAGTTCCTGTGAATGTGTGCCCTCAACGATACAACTATTTACAGTAAATACCTGTTAGTACCCACAAGACTTCAGCCATTACGGATACATTAGTTCCTGTGAATGTGTGCCCTCAACGATACAACTATTTACAGTAAATACCTGTTAGTACCCACAAGACTTCAGCCATTACGGATACATTAGTTCCTGTGAATGTGTGCCCTCAACGATACAACTATTTACAGTAAATACCTGTTAGTACCCACAAGACTTCAGCCATTACGGATACATTAGTTCCTGTGAATGTGTGCCCTCAACGATACAACTATTTACAGTAAATACCTGTTAGTACCCACAAGACTTCAGCCATTACGGATACATTAGTTCCTGTGAATGTGTGCCCTCAACGATACAACTATTTACAGTAAATACCTGTTAGTACCCACAAGACTTCAGCCATTACGGATACATTAGTTCCTGTGAATGTGTGCCCTCAACGATACAACTATTTACAGTAAATACCTGTTAGTACCCACAAGACTTCAGCCATTACGGATACATTAGTTCCTGTGAATGTGTGCCCTCAACGATACAACTATTTACAGTAAATACCTGTTAGTACCCACAAGACTTCAGCCATTACGGATACATTAGTTCCTGTGAATGTGTGCCCTCAACGATACAACTATTTACAGTAAATACCTGTTAGTACCCACAAGACTTCAGCCATTACGGATACATTAGTTCCTGTGAATGTGTGCCCTCAACGATACAACTATTTACAGTAAATACCTGTTAGTACCCACAAGACTTCAGCCATTACGGATACATTAGTTCCTGTGAATGTGTGCCCTCAACGATACAACTATTTACAGTAAATACCTGTTAGTACCCACAAGACTTCAGCCATTACGGATACATTAGTTCCTGTGAATGTGTGCCCTCAACGATACAACTATTTACAGTAAATACCTGTTAGTACCCACAAGACTTCAGCCATTACGGATACATTAGTTCCTGTGAATGTGTGCCCTCAACGATACAACTATTTACAGTAAATACCTGTTAGTACCCACAAGACTTCAGCCATTACGGATACATTAGTTCCTGTGAATGTGTGCCCTCAACGATACAACTATTTACAGTAAATACCTGTTAGTACCCACAAGACTTCAGCCATTACGGATACATTAGTTCCTGTGAATGTGTGCCCTCAACGATACAACTATTTACAGTAAATACCTGTTAGTACCCACAAGACTTCAGCCATTACGGATACATTAGTTCCTGTGAATGTGTGCCCTCAACGATACAACTATTTACAGTAAATACCTGTTAGTACCCACAAGACTTCAGCCATTACGGATACATTAGTTCCTGTGAATGTGTGCCCTCAACGATACAACTATTTACAGTAAATACCTGTTAGTACCCACAAGACTTCAGCCATTACGGATACATTAGTTCCTGTGAATGTGTGCCCTCAACGATACAACTATTTACAGTAAATACCTGTTAGTACCCACAAGACTTCAGCCATTACGGATACATTAGTTCCTGTGAATGTGTGCCCTCAACGATACAACTATTTACAGTAAATACCTGTTAGTACCCACAAGACTTCAGCCATTACGGATACATTAGTTCCTGTGAATGTGTGCCCTCAACGATACAACTATTTACAGTAAATACCTGTTAGTACCCACAAGACTTCAGCCATTACGGATACATTAGTTCCTGTGAATGTGTGCCCTCAACGATACAACTATTTACAGTAAATACCTGTTAGTACCCACAAGACTTCAGCCATTACGGATACATTAGTTCCTGTGAATGTGTGCCCTCAATGATACAACTTACATGGCTGCGCAGGGAGATGTACATAGCGCTGAGCTCATCTGAGATCCTCGACCCCGTCTGATATGGCAGGAAAGTCACAAATCCCAGAAACTTGGCAACCAATCTCACCGTCATCAGACACGACACAAAACGGTCCTTCTCTTCCTAATCATACGACAAAAAAGTCCTTAAATTGTTAACTCATTTTCTAGATTAAGACCATGTGTTTTAACAACGAAAGTTACTCAAAGACTTTGAAAATATAATTTAAGTAGTTTTTAATATTGACCTTTTGTCACATGAAAGATATATACTTCATTTACTTTTATTAAACCTTCCTTTAACATTCAATGAAAACAGAAGAATATGACATCAAGGATTATTTCAAATTCATGTTATCAGATGCATGTCTCTCTGACATCACAGGGCTTCATTGGTTAACACACTATTGGACATTACTAAAGGAAAGCTAGTGACTTTGTTATAACTCTGTTAATGTTACTTGTACTGACATCATCAGTGGCGTCCTGTTCAGTCGGTGTCTCCTCTCGTGAGGCAATGGATATTTCATTCAGCTGAAACAACAAAAAGTACTTTTTGGTCCTCAAGACTATTTTATGTATTATTTTATATTTGTTAATATCGCAAATTGGGTCAACGCATGTAGCATATTTCAGGCCCATATTTACCAATTCTTATGGACTCAACATTCAAAAACAATTATTTTGTAGATATTAAATGGGGTAACAAAATGTAGACTTTTTTCCAGTTTCCTTTATTGTGTGTAATATGGACGAACATGATTCCAAAATCTATTTACTCATAGTTTTTTGAAGTTATTTTATCCTAACTCATTGGATTAGACAGACCATTTGGTGACCGTGAACTGCCTGTTGAAACCTTTAAGTTGCATAGGACTAAGAGTATTAACCATGATGTTTTTTTCGCCAGACATTGTAGATAATTTACAGAGTAAATTAGAAATCATTCTCACCATGAGCACAAACTAAAACCCTGTTGATACATTCATTTATTATCATATTTAGTGCATAACTGACCTCCATGACTTTGGCGGAGAATGTGTCTGTGAGGTGTTGGTTGAAGATTGGACTGCTGGCAGCCATAATGAAATCCCTGAAGAACTCCTGACAGCCTGGGAAGGATGGGGCAGGACAAGGTCCACCGACACTCAATGGCATGATGAACCGCTCCTGCAGCCTGAAACATACAAATCAACATCTTACTATTTTGTACTCAAAACTTCTGATAATCCTATCATGGAATCCCAAGAATTTAGCAAAGGAGGAATACTGACAAGATCTGGCTATGATAAATTTTGACAGACATGACCTTGCATTTCTAGGAAACAAGATAACAAGCCATTTGGATTGATATGCCCCGCTTTGACCATCAATGCATATGTCAAGTTTGGTTGGTCTAGCACTTATAGTTACAGAGAAACTAACCTAAACCGCCGCCGGAAAAGCTACACCTAGGTCTCGCTTCCACTACTTCTTGGCAGCGAGACAAAAATGACTATGTTGAAAAACTATCTAATGCTTCAGTCATTAATAACACAACATAGTTCATACGGTGTCATTACATTTTGAGTCGCAAAATATATACTGGTAAATATGCATTGACTAGGTGAATGGCTAATATTTTACAAGGCAAAAGTTTAAGAAGTATACACTATGTATATAGAGGACCAATACAATTTGACATTATTTATGGAAGAAAAACAACTATACTCTTTATGTTTGACCTGTTTTTGAATCTCTGATACCATACATACTACATACACAAATATATATACAGGAACTGGAAATACTGTATGCAATGGGAATGAAGTTGGTCAGACTTGTAGAAGTGAACAATGGTCATTCACAGATATTTTTTGGTATAGCAATGGTTTAACCTGTTGATATCTGATGTACTTAGGTTTTAGGTTGGATACAATTTATATCAAATTGATCACTAGTACTGTTATTTAATATATATTGTGAACCAATATGCAGCCGTGCTAAAATGTTTGTACAGTATCTGCTTAAGAGCTTGAGAAAATTACATCCACTTGAAAATGGGCTGTGAATGAAATAACAAAGTTCATATATAGCTTTTCACCTTTTGAATTTCTCTGGGTTCGTCCTTTTCAGCTGACTAAGGAGAGCATCACCCTCGTCATCCCCATCAGGCTTCAGACTTCCATCTCCCTTACACATCTAAGAACAATAACAGGAATGTTCCCTTACACATGGAGAGACCGAGATTATAAACATTCGACACATTACATAACTTCTACAAAGAATTGCATGACTGTATTTAAAGAACTGTACCAAAGTGGATTAGCTAATCAGAGTGCAGGAAGTACCTACACCATGCTCTCATAACACGCGAGTACAAATCTAGGGGACTATTCTTAACTGTTATAATAGTATTGAGGATTGCTTTTTACTATGATACAGTTACAGATTAATAAAGCTTAGGGGCTTGGTAATTATTATTTTAACAGATAAATAAAATTGTGAGGTCTTATAGTTTACTTCTGTGATAGATAAATAAAATGTAACTAGTTGTCAAGTGTTACCATTGAAACCAGAAAAATACAGTATAGGGAGCTTGTACTTTCACTTCTTTATGTGCTCCCTGACTGGTACAACATATACACATAAAGTTCTTCACCGTTATAAGCTGTGACTGGAACAGTCGAGCAAAGTGGATATGGTTAGCAAGCTCTGTTTTGAAGTTTATGAGCGCTCGTATCTTGTCGCCTAGAAAGGCAGCTACGGACCATCCGGAACTCATGTGATGAGCTTCCCACTCTCTCAACAGCTCGTAAAATGTGTCTCTGTGAATACAAAAGACAAACGTACATCTAGAAACTTACAGAGTTGTTATATATCCATTGCATTAGCAAAAAGCCTCCACATTTCTTAAATTTACGCATGAAAATTCTGTTGATGTGATTTTGCATTGGTCTTGGTAAGAAAAAAGTTTTTGAGTATTATATTTACTAGATATATCAAGAATATGATATCATTAACAAAACTGGACTGTACTTAAAAAGACATATATTGAAATACCTTATTGAAAGTTGAATCATTTTGCTGCAAGATTTCTGAATTCAAAAGACCCTATATCATTAACATGAAAATGGTATAAGATTTAATATGCACTGTACCAAAATTCTCCATGGTTTGTACACGATATTTTTATTTCTTTAAAAAAAAATCAATTTTTAAAAATACATTATTATGTTCATATGCAAACTCCTAATTTTTTGTTTACAACTTTATAAGAGCAATTACCGTTGTTTCTTGAAGAGGTGGAAACTGCAGTCATTCGGGAAATTTTTGCGGTTGTCCGTTTCTGCCTGGAATGATACACCCCCTATTGGCGATTTAGGGAAGGCAGGGACAGGCTGTTGGTAAATCAAACAGTTAATTAAAGACATAATAAAACAATGGTGTGTTATCAATCTTTGCTTTGAAACGAAGTCTTGTTCTGCTCAGCAATCGTTTCCTCTCACATGTAGTTTACACTGTCATGAACTATATATAGTAAATTGAAATGATTACTCTCAGTTTTAAATCAATGCATTTCAATAGACACCAACGTATTATATTGTTACCTTGGGGCCCGAATCATGTTCCAGGGTCAGCCAGTCTATCAGGGTTTCAGAGAAGCTTGCTATTCTTTGGTTTTCTGACAAGAGCCGTAGAGTACATCGGTCTAAGCACCTCAGGAAACTAAAATTTTATCATATTCTATTAACATTTTTTATCATATTCTATTAACAATCTATTGGAATAGCAAATGGGGTTGATGACATATTGCAAGAATAACAGATGAATTAGTGGACATACAGATCGTGAGTGATGTTTATGAAATATTGCAAAATTCTTGGACTGAAATTATCTCCATTCTGTCATATACCCAATATTTGAGTGATATGCTTTAAACTGCTTTAAAACTCAATGAGTTATCTTTATAGTTAGAGCCAACACTATCAAATGAAACATTAAACGATAGAGATGTGACCTTGGAGAGGTAAATATAAGAAATATCACTTTAATATAATATAACGGATGCAGAAAAATGGTGCAAACCTGACTTGTGACTCCAGTACTTTGACAGCAAAATAAACAGCATTATGAACAGAGCAGAAAAAGTTGGTGTCAATCGTATCTGAAACAAGATGATGGAAAACATTCTCTTACTAACTATTTTATGATAATAAACTTTCTAAACAATTGAATTAAATCGCACAGAAATAATTTAAAAAACATGTAGTTGCACAAAATAGCTGACAAGAAATACTGCTGGTGAAAATCATCTGATGCAGTAAAGATTATTTGGTATTCAAGTAGATATATATTTACAATGTTCTTTAATACAATGCAACTAATTCATTACACTTGAAAGTATCTATAAGTAGAAGTAATGCTGACCTGCAGACATTCAACTATAACAAGAGGCCCAAGAGGGCCTGTATCGCTCACCTGAATATTTAAGCAGTCATAGCAAAATATTTTCATTAAATAATATATTGCACTAAAAATATTTCTCTCACAAACTTTGTTGGCTCCATCTGTTGAAACTACCAGCAAAATATTATTACAAGATTCTATGCTTTTTGATTCTTCAGAAGTTGCTTGACATATTTTTCCCTGTGACCTTGTAAGTAGGTCAATGTCATTTTCCTTCTCAAATTGGTAAGCTCTATTCCAAAAGCTACCAGCCAAATCTTATGAATCCATTCCTTTTAGTTCTTAAGAACAAATCCATAAAAATGTTGTTGACCTTTGTGACCTTGAAAGTAGGTCAAGGTCACTTTCATTCTCAAACTTTGTTTGGCTCTTTCTTAGGAAGCTACAAGCCAAATATAAAGATTCTATACCTTTCAGTTGTTTAGAAGAAGTCGTTTGAAGTGTCTGACACATTTGACCCCTGTGACCTTGAAAGAAGGTCAAGGTCATTTTCTTCCTCAAACTTTGCCGGGCTCTATCCCAGGAAGCCATCAATAAAATATAAAGATTCTATACCTCTCAGTTCTTCAGAAGAATTAATTTGAAATTTTGACACCTTTGACCCCTGTGACCTTGAAAGTGGAACAAGGTAATTTTCATTCTAAAACTTTGTTGGGCTCCATCCCAGGAACCAATCAGCCAAATATGAAGATTCTATACCTTTTAGTTCTTCAGAAGAAGTCGTTTGAAGTTTTTGACATATTTGACCCCTGTAACCTTGAAAGTAGGTCAAACTAATTTTCTACCTCAAATTTGGTCGGGCTCTATCCCAGGAAGCCACCAGCCAAATATAAAGATTCTATACCCTTCAGTTCTTCAGAAGAAGTCATTTGAAGCTTTTTACACATTTGACTCCTGTGACCTTGAAAGTAGGTCAAGGTAATTTTCTTTCTCAAACTTTGTTGGGCTCCATCCCAGGAACCAATCAGCCAAATATGAAGATTCTATACCTTTTAGTTCTTCAGAAGAAGTCGTTTGAAGTTTTTGACATATTTGACCCCTGTGACCTTGAAAGTAGGTCAAACTAATTTTCATTCGCAAACTTTGTCGGGCTCTATCCCAGGAAGCCACCAGCCAAATATAAAGATTCTATACCCTTCAGTTCTTCAGAAGAAGTCATTTGAAGCTTTTTACACATTTGACTCCTGTGACCTTGAAAGTAGGTCAAAGTCATTTTCTTTCTCAAACTTTGTTGGGCTCCATCCCAGGAAGCCATCAGCCAAATATGAAGATTCAATACCTTTTAGTTCTTCAGAAGAAGTCGTTTGAAGTTTTTGACATTTTTGACCCCTGTGACCTTGAAAGTAGGTCAAACTAATTTTCATTCGCAAACTTTGTTGGGCTCTATCCCAGGAAGCCACCAGCCAAATATAAAGATTCTATACCTTTCAGTTCTTCAGAAGAAGTCATTTGAAGTGTTTGACACATTTGACCACTGTGACGTTGAAAGTAGGTCAAAGTCATTTTCATTCTCAAACTTTGTTAAGCTCCATCCCTGGAAGCCATCAGCGAAATATGAAGATTCTATACCTTTTAGTTCTTCAGAAGAAGTCATTTGAAGTTTTTGACATATTTGACCCCTGTGACCTTTGAAGTAGGTCAAGGTCATTTTCGTTTTCAAACTTTGTAGGGCTCCTACCAACAAAGCTTTCAGCCAAATATCATGACTCTAGGCCTATCCATTCTTCAGAAGAAGTTGTTTAAAGGAAAAGTTGACGGACGAGGACGGACGGACAGACGGATGACGGACGCCGCACCACGACATAAGCTCACTTGCCCTTCGGGCAGGTGAGCTAAAAACGAAGTAGAGACCTGCAGACATTTCATCTATTTAAACAAAGTGGAATTGATATAGAGACATATATATATATACCCAGCCCGCCAGTACTGGAGACCAGCTCAGTGTCAGCACTCCGAGATGTCATAAGTTGCACCACAAAGTAAATTTCCACAGCCAGGTTGGGAAGCAGGTTTTCTGCAGCAGAGGATAGATTGATAAAAAAAATCTCTAGTAGCAGTAGGTACGGCTGATTTTTTGTTGAAATACATTAACTAGAAAATATTCACAAAACATACATACTCCTTTAGTGTTGATGAAAATGGGAGCTATAGACACAATATCTAACCAAAGAAATGGAGCCACATGTGATAATATGATGTGGTACTTCTAAATATGTGAACAGGTATTAAGTCTAATACCTGCTTTACTTCTTGTATAACAGCAATAGAGCTATTAAAACTGAACTTCTAGCCAAGATCTCATAGGAGCGGACAGATGGAACACAAAAATACTGGTCACATAAACCAATGGTGTCAACACATAAACCAATCGTGTAAACACATAAACCAATCGTGTAAACACATAAACCAATCGTGTAAACACAGACCAATAGTGTAAACACATAAACCAATCGTGTAAACACATAGACCAATCGTGTAAACACATAAACCAATCGTGTCAACACATAGACCAATCGTGTCAACACATAAACCAATGGTGTCAACACATAAACCAATAGTGTAAACACATAAACCAATCGTGTAAACACATAAACCAATGGTGTAAACACATAAACCAATCGTGTAAACACATAAACCAATCGTGTAAACACATAAACCAATCGTGTCATCACATAAACCAATCGTGTCAACACATAAACCAATCGTGTCAACACATAAACCAATCGTGTAAACACATAAACCAATCGTGTAAACACATAAACCAATGGTGTAAACACATAAACCAATCGTGTAAACACATAAACCAATCGTGTAAACACATAAACCAATCGTGTAAACACATAAACCAATAGTGTAAACACATAAACCAATAGTGTAAACACATAAACCAATAGTGTAAACACATAAACCAATAGTGTAAACACATAAACCAATAGTGTAAACACATAAACCAATAGTGTAAACACATAAACCAATAGTGTAAACACATAAACCAATAGTGTAAACACATAAACCAATAGTGTAAACACATAAACCAATAGTGTAAACACATAAACCAATAGTGTAAACACATAAACCAATAGTGTAAACACATAAACCAATAGTGTAAACACATAAACCAATAGTGTAAACACATAAACCAATAGTGTAAACACATAAACCAATAGTGTAAACACATAAACCAATCGTGTAAACACATAAACCAATCATGTAAACACATAAACCAATCGTGTAGACACATAAACCAATCGTGTAAACACATAAACCAATCTCGTAAACACATAAACCAATCGTGTAAACACATAAACCAATCGTGTAAACACAGTTTTACAGCTTTACTACCAAATTTTATCATTAGAAATTTCTTACCAAAACCTTTACAGTATTGTTCCGATAAAGAGGTTTGAATATTAAAACCACTATCAATGTTTTTCAGACGTTCAGATGTATATTTTGTTGTTATTCTAAGGGTTGATAAAAAGTGTGCCTTGAGAGCTCTCATATTTAAATTCAACATCAGATCATTTACAGTCCGATCATTCTAACTTCCAAATTTCACACGTGAAAAATACATTATGTTTTTGAACAGGGGAATTGTCATGGAAATAAATTCAGGAGAAGAGATCCAAATGAAATGGCAAAAATGTTTGCATATGTTGGGAAGCTGCATGAGTATTCATTTTAATCAAACGGAGGGAAGTCAGAACAAAAGTTGAATGAGGCCAACTAACGATTCCATCATTTAACATTATCATTATAAAACCTTTTAGACAACAGGAATACAGTTCTGCCAGGACATCAAGCTGGTCTTGGTGTGTCACAAATGAGGGGTCAGCAACAGCTATCTCTAGGACTGAGTTTGACCGCTCTAAATACTTCGTAGGAGTCATTGGACCACCAGGCGAAGAAAATCCAGACAGTCTACTCAGATCTCCTTGTTGAAGTCTCTTGGCTTTTTCTTGTCTTTGAAACAAATAAGGGAATCATCTTTAACAGCAAATACAAAACTTGATACATTGGTTCCTATGATAGCCAAAATATTTGCAAAGCTACATTGTCTTGACAAGGCCTTATTATGGTATTTAAGTAAATAAAAAACCTGTAAAGGTTTAATTTATGGACATTAAAATCATTCCAGTACTTTCAAGGAATTCAGACCAAATTGTGTTATTTACAGACAAACAGAAAACCTGATTCTATTATAAACCTTACTCAAAATATGAGTTTTAAGGTGCAACATTAAAACGAAGAGGAGACCTAAGACTTGACATTACTGAATGGTTCCAATTCATGAAAGAAGTTATGGTCCTGCCAAAAAACAGGTCTTGACTCTATAAATAATAGTAGCGTTTTTGTTACCTGAATTTTACAACAGCCTATTCCTTTATGAATTAGGACAATATGGCATTATTTGTATTGAAATTGGGAATATATTCCTCATTTTTTGGTCATTTTGGGAAAATAAGACACTTTTTAGCTAGGGGAAAGTCTGTATTCGGCTGTAAAACTGAGCAAATAAAATCACCGATTGGCAAGGTTATGTGATCACACACTCCATTTTTCTAAGATGCAAATATCCATATATATATTAAAGCTTTGCAGCCCTGAAGTTGTGGTTCTGGTCTAGAAAGTGACAACAATAACACCTTAGTTATAAACAGTATGTTTCATTTCTCATAAAGGGGATATATAATCACATACACATATAAATTAAATTCTTACCTCAATAGTTCTCGCTCCTCTATCAGGGAACCCCTCCGATCTGTCCCTCCTTCAGATTCACCTGCCAGTGTGTGGGTTTCCTTTGAGTTCTGTGCAGAGTCCAAGAACATCCTGTTGTGATGCCATGCCTTGTTGCCCTGGATTGGCGTGGGTTTGATGCGACGAGAGGGCATCTGGGTGGAGTCCGTACTCTCTTCACTTAAAGTAGTAAAACTGATTCTACGAGATTTTGTTATCACAGTTGGCTTAGCATTACCTCTTGGTGTTGCATCAAAGTTTGGTGAATTTTTCATGTATGGTGTACAAAGTACAGACTCCTCCTTCTGGTCAGGTTTTCTACCAAAAGCAAATGCAGTGTGTGATTTATTATAAAAACATATTTATCTGGCAAAAGTTTGAACTTTTTATGTATAATACATGCTAATTAAGTTATAGCAATGCCCTGTTAGGGTTAAGGGTGTGGGTTGTTCTTGTTGTCAATGATCTTGTTATATTTATGTCCCCAAAAAAGGGAAGTTTTTCTCGACCATCTAATTAAAAATATATATATTTAAACAGAGTTTAAATTAGCTGCAATAAGACCAATAATCTATATAAAATGACCATGTTACTGATAGTTATTAGTTTAATGAATTGTCATAGTTACTGGAATACAAAACGCTAATAATTACTAGTATATTACGTTTTAATTTCAGCATTTCTCATGTCATAAGTTATTAAGTTACAATATGTTCAACATTTAATGATGTGTTCACCTAATGGGATATTCCATTTCGCCTCCCATAGGGGGGAAGTCACTGACACTATTCAGACTGAACACTGGTGCTGGTTTTGTCAAGTCTGTTCTATTAGCTGGATGACGCTTTTTTCCGCTGGACCGTTTCCCTCCATTAACAGGTAACGGAGAAGGTGAGTTGTCAAATGAGTGGTCCTTTCGCCCACCTGAGTAGGGAGAGTTCTTCTTAGAATTCTGATTAATGTCAACATCTGGTGAGACAATAAATTCTCCCAGACTAAACCTTTGTTTTGCTCGATGTCCATGACTGTCTGGTGTTGCATTCGACTGTCTACTGCCACAGTGAGGTGACTGGCGCTGGTCCCTACTTCCAGGGGTTCTATGTCCCCTGCCTCGCCCAGATCTCTCTGCTGATGACGGAGTGTTCAAATTTTTCCAAACTCCAGGCGAGTCAATAGAAACATTTGGAGAAAAGACAGATGATGATGTGTCACGGATATCCTCTAAACCATCACCAGGGCTTGATCCGAACAACTGTACTCTCTTGCCACCATCTTCCCTTCGAGTGTGAACAGTCTTTTTAAGTTTTTGAGTTGAGGGTGTTTTAGCTGGCGATGGATTGGCAGAACGATTGGACTGAAGGAGATGGAGGGTTTGGTCACGAAGATAATTGAGAAAGAAAGGCACAAATTCTTGGTCAAGTTTTGAATACTCTTTCAACTGTTTGGGAATTCTTTTCTGAAAGAAAGAAAAGCAAAAGGTCAGCATATTAGCTGAACAATTCTTATTTGAATAGAAGATTTGTTCAGTAACAATAATAAAAGTTATACTGTCGCCACATGGTTTTGATGAGAATGATCAGAGGAGTATCGATGATACGGATTACGTGGTGGGGAGGGCAGCTACTTTACAAACAATAATAATACGTATCTTGACTTTGTCTTTATATCGTCATACCAATGTGACTAAAAACCACCATTTGTTCATACCCTTTAGGTTCATGCATTAACCAGGTACTGGATCACCGGCAAATCTGGTTATATATGCAGATTTGGCTATAGTATACAGTATAGTCAAATATAAGATGTCCTTTCTGAACTGTAAACTTTACAGTGCGAGGGTTGATCGATCTATTTTCTTTATGAGAAGAATATGTCATCATAACATGTAATTCATGTAAACATAAATAATAAATGATTCCTTACAAGATCCGTGCGGTTCTTTAGCCAGGAAACTACAGCATCTGGGGTAACTTCTTGATTCAAGAGGACTTCCAATATCGCGGCCATGTTCCCGCCATCCTTTCAAAGCGAGACTTCCGGAGACAAATTATATACATATCGGAATGAAAAAACATAACGAAACGAAACCGATATCATCTGATTTGAGCAACATGCATAGGAGAAGGACTATTTTCGTGGGTTTTTTCGCCGTTTATTGCAATATAAAAAAAATAGCAATGATTTGTGTTCTTTTTTGTCACTGAACAATTGGATCTCAAACAACATAATTATATTAGTATACCCCTTCCTCTCCTGTGCCTCCTCATTCTTCTTAAAATAGAGTACAAAGCTGCCAGATTAAGTTGAATTGATTATTCATCACAAATGATTCAAGTGACGAGATCTTCAAAAAACACGAATCAACCGCCTATTTTCTACTAAATCCATGCTATTTTTTTTTATTGAATGTTTGCATAAGCTAAATTCATTTTAAGATAAACTCAAAACTATCTTTCAATATATTTAAAATAGGTACAAACATTTTTGAATTTAATTGTGTCGATTGATTCTATTTTGTTTACCAGGGGAATAATCGGGCTGAAGATTTATAACGCTTTTTGTGACAGTAAAATATCTTATATTGTCCGTCAACAACTGTTATTTTTTTATAAGGTAAAAAAAAAGTAAGCAAATAAAGTAGAGATGTTTACAAGTTTTCAGATATAAGCGGCATTAAACGCTGATGTTTTTACCTGGTAAAAAAAAAAACAGAAGAAAAAAAAAGTATTTTTTTCAGTTTTCCGTCAAATCAATCTTTGATTTTTAACCTAGTTAAAAAAAAACAGTATTTAAGAAGAAGTTAAAAATGAAATAAACAAATACATATACGGAAGATGAAAGTTGATATTTTATGTGAAAGAAAAAGTTTTGTGAATGTTACAGATATTGGGGGTTTACTTTGCACCACTATTTGTAATACAAATGTTTATTTTCGCCGTTGATATTCTTGCGCTAGACAATAATGCACGTGCTTCACAAACGCCAATGAATGTCACGTGATTTGTCTTCATACTATTTTGGGATGGATATATTATGTACGGACAGGTGAGGTGAAAGTCGTGCTGACTGGAAGTCTCCAAAACTGTAAGTACTGACTTTTTTTTTTTAACTAAAATTGCATATATGTATAATTTTCAATATAATTCAGTGTGATCTGTTGGTGTATAATCTTAGCATAGATGATGTCTTTAAACCTCGTGTCTCATAAAATGTTTATACTTGGTACCCGTTACCGTTATTCATATCCTACATGTTGTTTGTAGTTTTATTTTGTTTCTTATTCGTCACTTTCTTTAGTTTATGTTTGCCATAACACGTAAAACCAAGATGTATTACTACGGCTCAGAGGATGAAATACCGGTACGTTCGTGATATGGGCGATTTAAGCAGTTATCTCCCCGTTGGATTTACATGTGTTTTGAGTGTGAACTATGTCAATAGGTAACAGAGTTCGCTATATCAGAAAATCTATGCAGTATTGTATTTGATAGTGTTAAGATCCCACATCGATGGGTTTCACGCTGATACGGTACGTGTCTCAACCACAACCGACGTATTGCCATAAAACAGTTTAAAGCTATACAGTAATGGTGAACTGTCGGAAGGAAATGCCATTATACCTAGTAATATTAAAAAAGAAAATCGGGTATATATATAATCATTAGGGCTGGGACGAATCAGGATTTTTTCGAATCGGTTCGATTTCGATTTTGATCCCTTTTCGAATCGATTCACTTGATACTTTCTAATAAAAACATAAGAATCAAGTGTAAAACCTTTATTTAAGGTATAACAAAACAAAAGTAACAGTTTATAAAGTAACCATGTGGTAACATATTAAAGTTTTTACCAAGTTAAAATGTTTTCACTGCAGGGGTAGATTGTGTTGATGTTGATTGCCGCGAGTCAATACTTGAAATGCCATGCTTTCTTTTTAAATGATTTGACATCGAAGACGTAGACCCTGTTTGGTATTTGAATAATGCAGTGTTCCCTGTCACTTTTGTAATTGTTTTTTTTGTACCCCCATACCTCTCAAAATGGGGGTATGGCTGCATATATTAGGGGTTCACCTTATCTAAATCCCCATGGGTGATTGGGTATGTAATATCATCACAAAATTGTTAACCAATTGTAGCAATCCCATTTTTACATGTTTTTATATATTTCATAATATTTCCAGACTGTCATATAACAAAAACACCAATAATTAGTCAGTAACAGAATGCCTCGGCACAGTTAAACATCCTATCGGAGGATGCTGACATAGTGATTGGCAGTCACTTCTGGCCCGATGGCATAAGTATCAGGCCATGGGTTCCCCGCGCAGTAATTCTAGATGAGCACAGTCATAACCAAGCTTACTTTTATGTGTTGGAACATTGAGGGGCTGATGGCGGGAACTCCATACCTAATACACTGTCTAGAACAATTTGACATTGACATTTGTGGTATATCTGAGCATTGGATTAGGGAACATAACTTATCGTTTTTTTTATACATTTAAATCTGTGGGTTATAGTGTATTAGCAAAACCTGTTTACAAAATAGACCCTTTTAAGTATATATGTATAGTGTAAGAAGCGGGGTTGCTCTCCCGTTCAAAAAGGCCCGCCTTCGCGTACATGAAATTGAGGTAGATAATCCAAGGATAGTAGGAGCGGAAATTGTTGTATCCGATGACCTGTCAATATTCTGTTTTGCTGTATATATGCCAGCATCTTCGAGAGCGTTCGATGTGTTCAGTAATAATGTAGATATGCTGGAGCGCTGTATTCCTGTATTCAGTTTTACTCGGAGAGAGGGAGGGGGATCTTGGTTGGGGATATGAATGTAAAAATCAAAGGACCGCGATGTAAATTTACTGAAAATGTTCGTTCTCCATGTTTTCAGGAGTTCTTAGACAGGTCTAACTTAATGTCTACAAATGTCCAAAACATATGCAGTGGTCCCTCTTATACATTTTCTCCCCAAATCGGAAACTGTACACTCATTGACCATTTAATAATTGAATCGAGCATGTTTGACCTGGTAAACGACATATGTATATGAGAGGACACGGAGTTAAACCTGTCAGAACACCTACCTGTAATATGTTCGTTAAATGTAACAACGTATCTACTCCAGTCTATAAAATCATGTAGTGTCAGGTTAAATTGGAAGAAAGCTGTGTCAGAGGGAATGTTAAAGAAGTATAAATTATCACTGGACGATAAGTTGTCCAAAAAACGCGAACCAGGTACTGAAGTAATAGCTCTGGATGAAATTGATATATATAGTAATGCAATTGTGTCAGCATTACTAAATTCGGCTAAAGAGTCTATACCTGAAGTAAAATTCAAAAAGCATTTAAAGCCATACTGGAATGAACAGTTGACATTGTTTCACGATACCATGATAGGAGTCAGAGCGATATGGGTGAGGGATGGGAAACCACGAGGTGTATTAAATGATAGTTACAGAGAGTACAAACAGGCTAAAACTGATTTCAGAACGGGCTTAAGGCAAGCGTTTGAGAAGTACATGACAGCGCAGTTGACCAGAAATTATTTTGGCAACTATTAAAGAGCAAAACACCAAAGAAACAATATGCTCAAACTGAGTTGAAGTACGACGGAGAACTCATGTGTTAGCGACATTTAAATTGGGCTTTCCAATGGAAAGAATATGTTGTAAATTAAAACTAAACAAAGCTGGAGGGATTGATAATATTGTGTATGAACACTTCAAGTACGGGATTGAATTGCTATATAGTCGTTTGTCGAAGTTATACAATGCTGTCATTAAGTCTCAACATGTACCTGATGTTTTGAAGAAAGACCTTATCATAACACTGTATAAACAGGGATTTTCCTAGGTCATAATTTGATATTCCTATTTAGTGTTTGAGTGGATTATTTTGTGCGCCATAGGCGCACTTTGGCCGAAGGAGGGCCGACGGCCCGAGCCAGGGGGAGAGCACGAGAGGGGGGCGGGTAGCAAAATGTAATTCTAGATGACTGGAGATGGCTTTTAAGCACTTTTGAGAACAAAAATGAGGAAAATTGTTCATTATTGAAACATCAATATCTTGCAAATTGTTTTCCATTCAACGGGTCATTATTTGGCAAACACACAATGTCACCTATTGTTTTTTTGATATTAAAGGAATTTAAAGGTTATACAATACTCGGCAATACCACAGCAATAAGAATGTTATCACGAACAAAAATTGATAGTGTGGACGTAAAGATAAAACCTGGAGACTATAAATAGACACATACAAAATTGTTCACACAAAAAATCAGATATGACCTTTAAACAGCACATATTTATCTTGCTGTTGGTCTCTTTCGATTCCTTACTGACCACTGACCCGGACTGGACGCTTAAACTGTCATCGGCGAGAACGGGGTCGACGATCGCGAGAACGGGGTCGATGACGGACTCCGGTGCAAGTGGTGTTGCTGAAGTAATTGTAACATTTGTGCCCACGATTGCCACAGACGCTGCTACGCTAGTCTTTGTAAAGAATGACGATATCTTTTGTAACCCCTAAACGACACAAATACGTCTAAAAAGTAATATTTGACAGCATATCGTGTGCGCCGAAATTAAGGGGGAAAATACTTACGGTAGATATGGATAATCTTAGCGTTATATATTTCTTGATGGTTTTTCATTGAATTAATTTAATATGAATTAGTCTTCCTCTGTTTCAATACAGAGATGGAAACTTTATGTTAAAACACGGGGTCGGTAAATATGTAGGTAAAGTTATGTCCAAAGACTGTCTCGGATATTTACTGGAACGAATGTTTTCCACGTGCAAGGAGTATGTGGACATTCAAATGGCATTTAAAAAAGAAGAAGAAGAAATTCTCTATTTCAACACAACAAGTAAAGCTCATACGAACATCCTTCGACCGCACACACAAATATTGTCTCGACAAAAAAAAATCTACATTATGGAGCAGGGGATACCCAGAACCCGCTATTAGTGATAATTAAATCGCGTGTTCACAGTCAGCTTCTATCGCTCTTTAAAACGCGGGAATTGTC